TCTTTTGAGCTTACTCTTGGCTTTGGAAGATTCCGTTGTGTCTACAACTAGGCCTGGAGGCATGGATGAGCTCTGATTCTTAACTATCTTTTTACCAATACTTTCATAGGTGGCCATTTCATCCTGTGGCACATAACCTTCTTTGACCTTTCGCTCTTTCCTCCAAGTGCCATCGGGTCTTTTCGTAGCCGGAATACTATATGCCGATTTCTCATTACTCGTTGCCATGATTCAAAATAAGCCTATTTCTACTCATCAAATGATATTATAAGAAGAAAAAGTGATAATGATCCTCTACTTGCTTGAGCTATGTTGATTTTCCAACGGATTTGCAGTTTGCAGGTGTTGGTTGAATGAGGGTTAAAATGCTTGAAGCCCAGTACAGTAGTTACACTGTGCAGTGTGCACTGTACACTGTACGCGCGTACTGTACTCTACAGTGTACAGTACTATAGTTTCTTTTTCGACTGTACAGTACAGTACTGTAGTACAATACTGTAACCATGAACGAGAGATCTCTCTCTAGTAGTGCTGGAATTCCTGGGTCGAAATGAGCGATCGAGCGGCGATTTCTCGATTTCCAGTAGCCATGAAACTGTACCCAATACAGTACCGTGTGTTGAAAGAGTCTTCAATGTCACATACAGTACAGACTGTATGTGCTAAGCACGTACTATAAAACTCCGTCAAAGCCGTAGAGGTACAGTAAGAAGAAGAAGTTTAGAGTCCGAAAACTGCCTTCATGTTCAGAGCTGTTGGAACTGTACTACAGTACAGTATACTGTAGAGTCCAGTACGTTGTACAGTACAGTACCGGACCACCAGAAGGAGGCCCAAGTGGTCCGGATCTGTCCAGTGGTCCAAGCTGTTGAAACTGTACTACAGACAGTACAGTACAGTATTCCAGTTGTACAGTACTAGACTGGAATGCAAATTACACGGTCTACACTCTACAGTACTGTAGGCACGGACCGCCAGAAGGAGGCCCAAGTGGTCCAAGCTGTTGAAACTGTACAGTACTGTACAGTATTCCAGCTGTGTAGTACTGTACAGTTTCAACAGCTTGGACCACTGAACAGACCGGTTAAGTGCCCATACGCAATTCCAGCAGGCACGGATCACCAGAAGGACGCCCAAGTGGTCCAAGCTGTTAAAACTGTACTGTCTACTGGACTGGAATGCAATTTACTGCAGGC